GAAAAGTGAGACAAGGTTAGTGCTATCGTTAAGTGCCATTATAGACTTGGACCCCGTTGGCTTGACCCACTGGAAGGTGGTAGTTATCGGACGCTGCGGGGCATACTCATTTTTCCAAAATGCCTTAGATTTTGCTTTCGTGTTCGATGCTCTGTATTCTATAGCCAGCCTTTAGCCAGAGGGGGCCCCACTAATGATCAGTGCCCTAACCCTCAAAAGTTTCCGTTAATTTTTACTTATTTAATAGTGAATACTGAAATAAAGCGGATACTGAACTAGTTCAGTGAACATCCAGTTTTTACACTGGCCCCACACAAGCCTCCGAATGCCCAAAGCAGATCTCTGATGACTGGCCTTTGGGTGTCATACCGTGCATTGGTCAATGTGGTCAATGTGTACGACCTCGGCGTTTACCATTTTACTTGCACTGGAAACTGTTGCGTTCGAAAAAATCAGGGGAGTGGCTTATTATGAGCGCTCATCAGTCCTAACCTCCTAACTACCCGCAAGCGAATGGCTAGGCCCTTCCGTCTCCGCTCGCTTGCGATTTGGCATTCATGTAGGTACAAAATAGCGGCAAACGACCACTGAGGGTGTGAGTTGCGTCTCTTACACACTTAAAATATCTCTAAATCGAATCTGAAAAGACAAAAAATGCTATAAAGCGGGAATGGTTAGCATTTACACATATTCAAAAGGCACCGTTGGACAAACTGTAGGAGCACATAGCTGCAATATCAGGCTATGGAAATTTTCCTCATGTTTAGGGCACAAATTATGGAGGGGCAAGAATATACGTTTGCCCCTCCTCCAAAAGTTTCTTAGGGAACGATGCCTCCTCTGCCGCTCCGTATCTGTCGCCCCTGTACCTAAGCGGTCACTGAAGGCCTGGGTTGCCGCTGCGTCACTTTTACGCTTATAATGTCTCCAAAACTAGGTTGAAGAGAGGAAAACTTGAATTGAACGCGAGCACTTGTCATTTAAGAAAGGCAACGTATGATAAAGTATATGGGCATCTGGTTACATCTTCAGATGATCGAACAGAATAATCAGGTATATGTTTCTTGTCTAAGTTTTGTCAAAAATTATGGGGGGGGGGCAAAAAGATACTTTTGCCCCCCCACGAGTTTGCCAGGGGGGCAGCTGCCCCCCCTGCCCCCCCCCCCCGAATCCGCCGCCCCTGAATCCAGCCATCCAAGAAACTTTGCACGAGACGTTTTCTTGGATGGTTTTCGCCTTTAGGATTTGAAAACTGCAAGTTGCAAGCCAGGGACCCAATTTGGCTATCTCAACTCAAAACTTATGTTAACCCGCGCCGGGGGGGGGGGGGGTATTTGAACACCCCCCCTGCGGTTTTTCGCCGATATCTCAAAAAGCGCCGCCGTTTTTTGGCACACCTGTTCGTGCATCTTTTCCGCACATGTGAAAATTTCAGACCCAGGTCGCCCAAGGTCAGGTCACCAGGTCACGCCGTGACCTCACCTCAGAAAAAGTAGGAATGCTAGTCATAGCTACACCGACTGAACGATTGCCTTGAAACTTTCAGTTTCAGCGATTGATAAGAGTAACAGTATCTATAAAATGTATATCTCGGAAGTTTGATATCGGTGACCTAAGGTCAGATCAATTTTGCGGCCTCCATTATAAGTCAATGGGAGAAAATTGAAAAGCGTCTGTTTTGCACGAACGCCATTCTAGACCAGGGGCGGATCCAGCCGATCCGTTTGGGGAGGGCAAAAGTTTAGCCGACCATCGGCGACCCCGACCCACCACCGCGCCAGTGACCAAGTTACTTCACAACGCCAGTTACACTATCTTACCGTAAGATGGTGTAAAATGTCTTATGTTAACCCGTGCCAGCCGCGCTGGGGCTCCTGGATTTTCACGCCCCTGGGGGATGTTTGAACACCCATATCCCTTCTAACTCGGCTCCTGGACCACGTTGCAACACGCGGTAGGCGGCGTTTGAAAGAGTGTCAAACATAATGACCAAATTACCCCAGTCACTTTTAAGGTCAGGTCAGATGTCAGATCACCAGAGCCCATCAAAGGCCAAATCCCGATATTTAGGTCCAGTTTCGACAATTTTTGAAGAACTGGCGCATAACTCGGAAACGAATAGAGCTAGAGCGCCCCAGAAAAGCTAATTTGATAGCACGGTTACTGCTCTTTCTGGATAATTCGCTCAGATTGGACCTAAGATCAACGGTTTAGCCTCCAGGGGAAACTGCCATAATATATGTATACTATTTTTACGGGAACGGATTTTCTGCGATAACTTTTGAATCAAACCTTGTGCTATCTTACCTTTACCGGCATCGTGTTCCTCTCGCGAAGACGCGTCGAATGAGTTATAATTTGATCTTAAAAAGTGAACTTACCACTATGACATTTGGTCAAGTCATGACCATGGAAAAGGTCGTGTTGCATATCAGTCGATCCGTATCGTAAAGCTGAACACATCTAAGGTGTTTCTATTGCTCTAGAATGCCTCCTGCAGAAGTTATTAGCGAATTGCTGCAAACTATTGCATATCTTTCGTGACCTGAGATGATCTCAGGGACATAAGGAGGGGTCACGGGTGCTATTTTCCGGTTCACTGTGTGCTGTTTAGGTTGTAACTCGGTATTGTTAAGAGTGACGTTTCTTATAAATTTAGCACGAATGTTTGAAAGGGCGGATTGACGGGAGCCGGAGCCTACGCTAAGCAGAGCTTGTTGCGTAGAGCCCGACCCCTACCGTCCGATCGCCTAATTCCGGGTGACAGGAGAATTTAGTTGAACGTTTAACAATGCCAATGTTTAACGTGCCCTTCAAAGCCGGACACGGCCTGTCCCACTCCTGACTTTGACTGGCTGCGGCTGCTCCCACCAACCTCAGACCATCCCCGTCAGGAGTCTCAAATATCGAGCGCCGGAGCGACTCAAACCCGGGCTGTCACTACCGGGAGTCCATTGCTTTACCAACTGAGCTACCGGACAGGAGGTTTGCCCCAAAAAAGGTGCCTTTCAATTTTCTCTTATTGACTTATAGTGGAGAGGTCGCAAAAATGACCTAGCCCTAGGTCATCGATATAAAAATCATGTGACTAACATTTTGTACATACAAAATGTTAGTCACAAAATGTAGGTACTGTTACCCTTATTAACTGCTGAAAGTTTCAAAGCGATCCGTCACTCGGTTTAGCTATGGCAAGCATTGGAAATGTTTTTAGGTTATGTCACTTGACGTGCAGCTATAGTGATTTTGTGACCTTGAGAGACCTTGGTCTGACATTTTCAGAACATATGCAAAAAATAGGTATAAAATGGCGGCTAGGCACGTCGCCGTTTTTTACGCGGAACGCTCCACAGCAATGAGGCTCCCAACAAATGACAAAACTGTGGATTGCTTAGGTAATTTCGAATATAGGGTGGTGGGCGTCTTACCCGACTGGGTATCTTGCCCCGTGTTACCCCACACCATGGCCATTGGCCACACTGCAATGCTTATGCATGCATGCAGTTCAGGGGGTTCAATCTAATATCAGCATATCGACCCAAAATATCAGCAGCAAGTGGTCAGCTCTTTCCTTCGGAATGGCCGTCACGGAAGAAGCCCTGCTTTTCGTCCATATAGGCATCGACCGTATTAGATTTGCTCATCGCTACATGCTTTGGGAGGGGCAAAAAGATAGTCTTGCCCACACGATTTGGCTTTGGGGAGGGCAAATGCCCATTTTGCCCTCCCCTGGATCCGCCACTGTTCTAGACACTATATCAAACATCGAGATGCAGGTAAAATTGACACACTGAATCGGAAAATGGCAACTGTGACCTCTCGTTATGTCCCTGAGGTCATCTCAGGTCACGAATAGTATCATAACTTCTGATAGAGGCAGGCTAGAGCGCTGAAAACGCCTTAGATGTGTTCGGCTCGACGTTACGGATCGACTGATATGCAACATGACCTTTTCCGGTCAGGTCATGACCTTGACCTGAAGTCAAATTTTCAAGTTGACCTTTCAAGGTCAAATTATAGTTCATTCGACGCGGCTCGACGAGAGGAACACGATGCTGGCAAAATAATTGTCGTGGCTCGCTTGAGTCAAAAGTTATTGCCGAAAAACACTTTTCGTAAAAACGGCTATTTTTGGAGTTTTTGCTCTCTGGAGGCTATACCGTTGACCTGAGGTCAAATCTGAGGACATAGCAGCGAAAGAGCGTTAAAAGAGCTATCGAATGCGCTTTTCCGCTGCGCTGTAGCTCTATCGGTTCCCGAGTTAGCCGTTGGGAGTTTCCAAAATGTTGAAATAGCCAACATTTTACCTTTGGTGACCTCTGGTGACCTGACCTTTGACCTGACCTAAAAAATGACCGAAGTGTTTTCGTCCTGATTTTGGCCGTTCTTTCGAATGCTGCTTACCGCGTGTCGCTACGTGTTCCAGGAGCCGAGTTAGAGGGGGGTGTTCAGACACCCCCAGGCCCGGCGCGGAAGTCGCGGAGCACCGGCCCGGCGCGGGTTAAGGTGGGATGGTCACTTCAAAATAAATGCAACGAATGAATCCAAACAACAAACTCTCGTATCAAATATCACGGTAAATTTTTACCAAACGCACATTTTTGTTTAGAAATGTGTACTCACTCACAGTTAACATTTCATATGACGTATCACGATTTGAGTGAGTCACTCAGTACAATATATCAAACACCGGTTAATGTATGTGTAGTTCGTTGTAGGGTTCAATGACGATTTACCGGTCTTTGACTGTTACATAACGACTTGTGTATTTGGATTTAAAATGTTGTAAAATCCGTTCATCCATTTGATACATGAAAATCGTGACTTGAAAACCTACATTGGAAGCCCAACCTTCGACCCTACATTCCCCCTCTCTGATCCTTATTTTTTTCTCACCCAATGCTCTCACATAACAGTTTAACGGACCACCACACCACTTCCTGGCCTCTTACACCGACTAGGGGAAAACACTGTGCAGCAGCTCAGTTGCGTCTACTCACCGTTTTTACGTTGAGGCCGGCCGGAGTGCCGGGGATCGGTCAGGCCGGGTCACCGGCGCCCCGTCACCTGATGCCATGCTCCAGAGTGCAGAGATGTCGTGTGGCTATCTTTGATGGCTTATAGGGCATGCGATATAAATCATTGACATCCTTTGATCCTTGCACTTGAACGGTCAGATTGTTTATCGCTCTGTGGGTGGTAGACACTGATAGTGGGATTATTATGTTCTTCTACCTTTTCAAAGATAACTAACTGAGTGCTGGCTTATAATGCAATGCTTTTATGTAATCTTGGTAACTTAAATGTAGCTCTGACCTTATCTTGTCATCTTGTCATGTTATCTAGCATCTTACTTGGGTTGGGAGTGGGTGAGCCATTGACCTATCGCATGGTGGTGTTGACGACTTTGGCGGCCCGACGCTCGGCCCTCGGGCCGTGCCTCCCTCATCCGCCCCGTCTGTTGCCCTTCGCAGCCCTCCCCTTCCCTGTCTGGCGGACGGGAGGGGCCCTCCCTCCGCCCGCCACCCCACCCATTCCCCCAGCCCGCAGTATTGATCGTTTCTGTCGGGGAGTTTCGCCGGGCAGTCAGGGGGGAGGCCCGGGTTCGGGGGAGAACCGCCCGTCCTCTCCCCTCCCCCTGCCGCCGTCTGATATTGATTGGTGCACCGCGGAGGGGACAGCCGCCCCCCCCCCCCCCCGGTCTGGCCGGAGGCTGGGGTGCGCCCCTTCTCAGCGGTCTCCAGAGGACCATCTCTGTGCCGCCACGGCTGACTCACGGGCCTCCCCTCCCTCCCCCTCCCCTCTCCCGCTGCCCGGCACCGACCATTCGGTGGGAAAGGTTCGGTCGGCAGACCGACGCTCGCTCTTCGAATGTCATGGCCGGCCTCCATACTGACGGACGGCGTGACAACCTCGATTGAGTGTTGGTGTTATCTGGTCGATAAGAGGAGCCTGCTCACTTGTGTGCTCATAGATCTCTGTATGTGGTATGCCTTCATTTCAACCTTTCAGATAGACTTTGATGCCGTTCTGACACATCCTGAGCTATTTGATACAGCGTCGACTCCAACTCCAAGCCGGTAGCCTATGTTGTTGCTTTTGTGACCTTGCTGGCCTATTTTATCGTGTTGCTGATGAAAACCTTCCTCGTTTTAACGCACATTTCTCAAGATTTGTTTGTGTTCCCACAAACCGTAACAGTAATATATGTTTTTATGTAATGTTTATTTAAGAAACACATGCGTTACAAAATACGACACAAAATAGTTCGTCACACGACAGCACACATCCACATTTGTACATTTTGATCAATGGCGGAAATGCTTTGTTACTGGATCATGTGAACAGGACATAGATCGGAAAATTCAAAAATAGCTCGTCACTCAGCAGTCACAGCACGGTTGTGAGTTGAAACAGCCAACAGGTTGACAAGCCTGATGGCTTGATATTGTCGCTCAATCAGTTTGATAGTATGATCATAGAATAGCGTGGCCTGAGCTAAAAATAGCGGCGCTTCAATGTTTAAATCTTTGTGCAAACTTGATGTGTCAGCTTATGCGACTGTAGGGTTGGATGAATAGTTTACAAAAATAGCTGGTTCTGAGAGGTATCCTGTTCTAAGGGGTATTGTTGAGGCACAATGTTCATGGCCGTGACTCCGTTTGGAGAACCATGTGTTATGATTAAATAGAACAGTAAGTACTTACTTAACCTGCTTGGACATCTACGTAACCACTACTTCTGAATTCGCTACAATATTCACACGCATGCTGCATTTAAAAATAAACATCACTAACACTGACATTTATGCTAAAATAGTGTACATTGTACGAATATGACTAGAGCATTCCACCATACCTCTCGAAGTTTCACGTTCCCTGAAGCGAAGATATGAAGGGCCCGATCAAGACCTTCGTATTTCGCAAAACACATGCACATCGTGGAATACATTCACTGAAACATATTGAGCAAATCTCCCCACGCTGATCGGAAGGTCAGTGATAAAGTGATGCAGTCCGAACAGCTAACCTCCATTTTACGTGTTGTTACGGAGCGAGCGAGGCGAGCGTAGTCTTTCCTTAGATTAACGGAAATTTCTGAGTATGAGCGGCCGGCCGGCCGGCCGTGCGGACGCTTTTGCGAGGCTTATATCTCAGCAACCACTTGACCGATTTACACGCGGTAATTTTTGTAGGGTAGCTTTATTCCTTCTACCAAGTATTGGACTATTCCCGATGCATGTGGGTGACCCCTTATGCACGTGCCACGTGCAAAACGAAGTGGTGTCAGTTTTGTAATTGTTGCAATATCTCGGTAACTACTTGGCCGATTGCGCTGAAAGTTGGCATGTAGGTAGGCACCCACTAGGCACTGCATATCCATGTGCCAGAGTTGGGGTGCTGCTGCACGTGCGCACGTGCAGGGGGCGTTTCCAGATCTCGAGAACGGCTGGACCGATGGCGCTCAAATTTGGTACACGGTTAGGGACCAGTTAGTAGGGTGCCGTGCACAAGTCAGTTGGGACCCATTTTGCACGTGCGCACGTGCAGGGTGCCGCTTCCAGATCTCGAGAACGGCTGGGCTGATTGTGCTCAAATTTGGCAGATCGCTAGAGACCGGTTAGTAAGGTGCCGTGCACAAGTTAGTTGGAGGTACCCCCTCGAAATTTCGCACGTGCAAGACCCACCCTCTCGCTCGCTCCGTTAGTCGCCCCAAAAGGCGTTATACTGGTTTTAGTATATGGCACATGTAACTGATATGCGCCATTGGCATGCTCTACAGACGCTCCCACTTTCATGCGCTTTGCGACTTTCGATCTGCACGGTTGCCTCGCCGAGCTGTTATGGCACTCACGAGCTCTTATGGACTCTACATGAGTCATACGAACACATGGTCGCTGAGTCAGTCACTGACAGCCTGTCGCACGTCCACACATTTACACTAGCTCTGTCCCGACTCAGTTCGTCGTCGCACCGGGTCACTTTGGGTGATTCGGCCGGATACAGGTCACTGCAGTCCACTTCTCCCTCCGCGGGCTGAGAACATCCCGACGCGTGAGAATGAACAATAGGCTGCGTCGAATGCCATCGACATTCGCGACGTTCATTCAAATGCCACATGCTTGAGGTACCACTTACGCTTTTACAAATTCCAGTGCAGCATTGATCTGTTTTGCCTTGCATGCGCTCTCGCATCGCCGTCCCATCTCGCTGCTACCGGTTTTATCGACCGGCCTCTACTCTTTGTCGTTCTCCTGCTGTCCGTCCTCGGCTTCCGGCGACGGCCGGCGCTGTGGCCGCGGCTGTTTGCGGCTCCTCTTGACGGCGCCCCGCTCACCGCCGGCCGCCTCCTCCTCCTCCTCCTCGCCGGTGAAGAGCGCCTCCTCCTCCTCCTCTTCGGTCCTCATCTCCAGTCGGAGGAACGAGCCGCAGTCGATGGCGGCCGGGTCGGCCTGGTCGGCCGCTGCCGAGGCCGGCGGCGGCGCGTGCTGCAGCACGGTGAAGTGCTGCTCGGTGAGCTGCGCGCAGCTCCAGCACAGCGCCACGTGGTGCAGCGGCCAGTGCAGACAGAACTCGAGCACCGAGCCGAGCGGCGCGGCGCAGTGCGGGCACCGCAGCGCGCCGTCCGCGTGACGCGCCGACACGTGCGTCTGCAGGGTGGCCGCGTCGCCGGCCTCGAAACGGCACCGCGCCGCCTGACAGCGCAGAGTGCCGCCCGAGTGGGTGCACACCAGAGGTGGTCGCACCTGGCGACACTCCTCGCACGGCGGTGGAGGTGGGGGCGGGGGTGGGGGTGGGAGCGGCGCCGGCTCGGAGCTATCCGGCGGCGGCGATGACGTGGGCTCGCTGCGCACGGACGGCACGTTCAGGATGACGGGCGGCGCAGCGCTGCCGCCGCTGGCGGGAAGCGCCGGACTCGGCTGCGCGCCCGGCCGCTGCTGGTGGCTGTAGCGAACGTGGTCGGTCAGCACGGCCGGGTCCGTGGTACGGAACATACACACGGAACAGTCGAGCATGGCGCGCCCGTGCTCGGCCACCATGTGCGCCTCCAGCTCGGTGTGCAGCTTGAACGTGTAGGCGCACATGACGCACGTGAAGCCCTGCCGACTCTGCCCGTTCTGGTGGGTGCTCAACTGGTGGACGCTCAGCGTCATCTGGTCGTCGCAGACAAAGAAACACTTGATGCAGATCTTCTTGCCGTGCACTTTCGCGGCGTGCCAGGTGAGCCTCTCGGAGCGCGCAGCTTTGTACGGACACAGGGGACACGTGTACGGCTTGGTGTGTGTGTTCATGTGCCGCTTCAGACACCACGAGTCGAATCCACGCCAAGGGCACTCGGGGCAGGCGAACGCGCCCTGGCGGCTGGCGCGCTCCGGGGCCTCGGCGGCCTCTGTGCCGGAGGAGGCGTCAGACTCGCTGGGCGTCGAGTCGGCGCGCCGCTGGCGTCGGTTCTCCTTCTGTTCGGCGCACGGCGAGGCGGCCCGTTTGGTGGGCGCCGGACTGTCGGGCGGCGACACGGCCCAGCGGCGCACGCCGACACGCGGGTTCGGGCTCAGCACCAGCGGCTTGACGTCTTCGCGCGGAGGGGTTGGAGCGGGCGGCGGCGGCGGCGGTGGTGGCAGTGCAGGAGGGGACGGCGCAACCGCCACCGGCTTCTCCGGGGAGCGCGGCGGCTGTGAGTCGGAGGTGAGCGACGCCGCTCGCGAGTAGTACACCTGCGCCGTCAGCGTCTTGGGCGGGATGCGCCGAATGCGCGTCACATCATACGGCTCGTCGCGGTGGATCCTGAGAAAGTGCTTCTTCACATGGTCGGCCCGGTTGAACATCCTCTGGCAGATGTAGCACTGGAAGGGCTTGTCCGACTTGTGGATGTTCTCGTGTCGGTTGAAGAGGTCTCGCCGGTGCGTCGAGTACGGACAGTGCGGGCAGTGGTGCCGCTTGCCGCCGGCGCCGTCGTCGATCACCAATTCCTCGACGATGGGCTCGTCGTCGGCCGGCGACGGCGGTGCGCGCAGCTCGGAGTCGCGCTTCAGCTCGGATAGCCGCTCGAGGATGTCGGCCATCACGTGGCTGTTGCTGAACTCGGCCACCTCCGAGACCCGGTCGCCGTGATGACGCACCAGATGCATGCGCACGCACCGCTGCCACGAGCTCATGTACGGACAGTGCGGACACTGGAACGCCTTGAAGTCGGCGTGCGCGCCCAGCCAGTGCTCGGCCATCGGACGGGCCAGGAACGCGGTGACGGCGCACTGGCCGCACCGAAACAGACGCTGCTCGGCCACGTAAGTGGCGATCGGCGCGTTGTGCCAGCGCAGCTCGGCCGGGCCGCCGGCCGTCAGCGACAGCGCGCCATCGCTGCTGTCGGCTCGCTCCAGCTTGATGACCTCTGCGCCGCTGTCGGCGCGCTCCAGCGTGACGTCAGTGCGCCGCAGCCGCGCCGAGATGGCCTCCATCAGGCTGACGCCGCTCATCGCCGCAGCCATCGGTCCCTGCGGCACACAGACGGGTCGGACACAGGTCAGACGCCGGGTGACGTCATTGGAGAGCTCGGGTCAGACGCTGGGTGACGTCATTGGAGAGCTCGGGTCAGACGCCGGGTGATGTCATATGGTCGCTAGGGTCGCCACGGATTGTACGGTCAAACGGTGTGTGACGTCATAGAAGCGTTTAAGTCACACGGTGTGTGACGAGTCGACGACATAGACACGCTTAGGTCATAAGGAATGTGACGTCAAGAAAACGCTCAGCTAGGTGGTTAAGTGATTGTGACACTAACGACTAACGGCATCGTGTCATGCCACGGTGGACGTCAGCTGGGAGTGTTTCTAGAGAAACAAAACCACGCACTTTACAATGACGGAAGAGAGGGTTTACAATATTTGGAGATACAAAAGCGTAGCTTGTGACAGATCGCTAGTGATCATCGAAGCAGCATGATTAATCTTTGATTTCTAAACGGATTTAGGCGATTTAGCTACGTCGCTTTATCAGCTACAGCGCTATCAATTTGTTTGCATTGCAACAATGGCGGTTAATGCCCATGGCTGTATCAGGTGACAGGCATGCAGGTGACTTTATAAGACACTCAGTAGAGAAGCCGTTGGATCAGCTGCAATCAAGGTGAAACTGTTAACATGCGGGCGCCGTGCCGACTGCCGGTCATCGCGCGCTATCAGATGAGCCGTGCCGGCCCCTTCGTGACGTTTATGGTCACACTGATGACGTCATAAGATTTAACAAACAGGTGGTATCACAGGGCCACTTATGGCTCGTGATCCAACAGTCAGGCCGGAACTCCAGCTGCGGAAGACACCGGTTGCTTTGATTTACAGCTCATCTATATTTCCGAAAGCGCTCGAGAAGTTTTAGTGCGGAAGTTCCCACGGAAGCTGAACTGTCAAGTTCGGTCGCTGGATTTCGCAGTCGTGGAACATGGTTCCGATTCAGGTCAGGTGGACAGATGTACCCGGATTCTATTCTGTCAGGGAGCCGGGAAGTTCCATATGACTACTGACGGGTGTAGCGATGCATTCCAGGTTTCCGCACTGCGGTCTGGCCGGCGGGTCGGGGCACCTACTTAACCCGCGAGTTGCTGGGGGGGGGGGCGTTAAACGCCCCCACTTTATTCGCCGGGCCATAGCATAAAAATGGCGTGCCGCAGGCGCGCCAAATTTTGGGTACCTGTAGGGAATTGATTGAAGTTTATTTTGACAAAGTTTCAAAAAAATCGGTCGGAAAATTTTTGAGATATCGAGGTTTTAGTGACGTCATGATTTCTGAGTTTTCGACCAAAAACGGCATATGTTCCAAAAATCATATAAAATCACAGAATAGACATACAGACATGCCGTAAACGCCATTAGACTGCCAATACCATGAACAATCAAATGGCTATCTTCGATTATTGATTATCGTTCCGCATTTTCCAGAATCTTGAACTGAATCTTGACAATTTCTCGTGACTACTTCACGACCATGATACATGCATTTCTTAAATTGAACTTTTTGAGCCAAACAGGTACACATATGATAAAATGAATGCCACCATCGTGTTCTACGCCCCAAATTACCCATAAAACATGTGTCACAGGCTGCGAATATCAGTTTTGATTTTCGGGGATATGTGCCTACCCGGTTGACCTGACCTTGACCCTGACCTATGCTTGACTGACCCCTACATGGAGCTGACACTCCTGTAGGCCTTATATGATGGATTGTGCACCGTTTTGACAGAGTTACTGACGAGAGGCGCCCATTGCGAAGTCCTGAAGTCCATGCTACTGAAAGCCCGATTTTAGGTGTTTGACCTGACCTTGACCCAACCTGTGACCTCAAAATTCAACTTTAAAGTACTCATCTGAAGCGTCTCGTCGCGTTCTTTCGTTTGCCGCCTCGTGCGTTTCGCTGCGCCTATTGGTTCTCGAGTTATCGGCTGGGGGCGTTTAACGCCCCCCCCCCCCCCAGCAAACGGTGGGTGGCGAAATACCCCAGCAACTGCCGGGTTAAAGGGCGACCTGGTAGTTTGCACAGCTGGGACAATTATGCCGAACCTTGAAAACCAGCATAAACGATGAAATAAAGGCTCTCCGGTTAGCGCAGGTTAGGAAGGAAGCTTTCCGTTTTTATATCGAGTTCCGGCTCACTCCGGGCTTGAAAGTGACTGAGTGATGGGGTTAACGTTTACGATGTAATATCATTGGCACGTAATATTTCTAAAACGCACTTGACTAAGATGCCAGACTTTCACGTCTGAGGTCCGGTTCCTATCGGGTCGAATTTGCACGTCAACGAGACGCATCGACTGAGCAATGCGTGGCTGCGCTGGCTGCGGGCCTGGTAAATGATAATTGCTCGCCCCCTGAGTGAGGGTAAAACAATCGCCGGGTAGGTGTGCCAACAGGAAAAACAGCCGCGCGTCAACCACCGAGTGAATCAGCCGCCCAAAGAGGTTTGCCCGTCTGCAATCGGGCGGTAGTCAGTTGGCGTGTCACAGATAATGTGACATGAGAGGGCAAATCGTTTGGATAATACGACTTCACTTATCTATTAGATCGCAGTGTCTTTGGTCGTGATAGCAGGTGGATGGGTGCGCCTGACGTGTCCGTTATGAAGTCATCAGGCTCTAATCCGCGACAGTAAACCCAAGCCGGAAATAGTGGATCATATCAGCTTAAGCCGTGCATCAACTTACAGGCTAAGTCGATATCTAAATATACCTCGACCAAAGTCCTTCACGCCATGACTTGGCTGTGCGGCCACAGTCCACACCTGTTTTCTTATTCCGTAGCTAAATATTTAAATGCAAATATCGATTGTCCGACCATCAGCGTCGCAGAAGCGGCCTGGGAGAACCGATCAACGCGCCAGTTCTGAGGTTGACTTCGTTAGCTCGTCAGTAATCTGGTAAACGGACTAGCCCGACCGACCGGTCTCCGTGACTGGCCCGAGTGCCGCCCCCGCTGCTGCGGTCACTGGGGCCTCGCCCTGGAAACACCGTCAGCCGCCGCCCCCGGCCCCGGGCCGCCGACGGGCCCGTGTGGGCGGACTGAGGACAGACGGCGGTCGTCCGACCCCCCCCCCCCTACCTGCCCGCAGGGGGGGGGGACCAAACAGTCGTGGTGAAGTTACAGAGGCCAGAGCTCCTGCAGCAGTATGGGGGCATGAAGGCATTGACGTGTTTGGGAACGACTGTCTCCGTAATCAAGATAATTGTAGATATGGTCGGTTTCAGGTAATTGTGTGGAAGAGTTAAGTATGTTTCATTGCAATATTGCAATGCACACCATACGAAGGTTCAAACTGCGTATCATTTTTAAACATCAAAGTTGTACAATGGCCGACAAAGGCATTGTGGTTCTTACCACCTTTGACATCCGCAATGTTGAATCCATATTGGCCCTAGGTTCATATAATGATTTCGATGCATTCCAGGCGTGTTATATAACCGGGACTCTGCGGGGGCGACTGCTAACTAGTTTCACTCACTCAGTGAGTAGGTATTTGGAAAATAGCTCGATCCCGTTAGCAAGCGAAGCTTTGTGTCCGGGAATGACGGACTCAGAACGGCCGTTCACGGACTCCCGGGCGTCCCGGCCACTAAGTCCTCGAAGTATTCTCTCTGAGTCCTCGCGCTATCCTCGGGGAGTCCTGTATAGGAGTCCTCATCCAGTTGTTCCGGCCATTGGCCCTGAGTACGCCCCCACACAGCCGCTGTGAACGCAGCTCGCTGCAGCGGCTGGCCGCGTAGGCGGGCAGTGCGCAGGTGATGAAAATAGAAGACGCCCGTAATGCAATTGCAGACGGCTGGAGATGTTTTGGTTTAGTGGATTCTTTCATGCAGAATGGAAATGATTCGAGGCTTGATTCGAGGTTTGATGTTCACCGTGAAGTCAACTTAGCGGCGCTGCGTTGGATTCAAGATCACGAATGTATCACGAACATGTGAGTGACGAAATCTGTGCGTGTTTCCTGCGTGTCCCCCTCGCCAGTCATTAACCGTGTGGGGGTCGGGGAATCCATGCGATGCCAGTGAAGTCCACCTTTGAAGGTCGTTTACCCAAAGCAGTCCTGCGGCGGGCGTGTGGTCGTTACGGCCAGTATTTCTGTCTCGCCATACCCGGCCTATAGAACCGGGTAAGGTAGCACCGCGCCAGTGCTCGGGTCGGGCGGGGAAGTTTTCCAGTGCGGCCGCCGCCTCCGCAGCTGCAGCTCGGAGCTGCGGAGCTGGCAGCTCGTCGGGCGGCGGCTGGCACGGCGCGCGTGGGCGCGGGCGGGGGCGGACTGGTAGCCGCTCGCCGCCCGATCCATAGCGGCGCAGAGCCGCCCGCCGCCCACCGGCGGCTGTCACGGCCGGCCAGCCGCTGCCGCCGGCTGTCGGCGCTGTCACCTGTCCGCTGTCACCCCGGGCACTGTCAGAGAGGTGGCCCAGAGCCGCCAAAACCCTCCACTGATGTCCGGTTATGGCAGTTAGCCTGTTGGGACATCAGCCAAGGATTGTCATCCGCCAGACATTCTAGGAATGGTCATGAACTGTCAGCGGCCGCCATAATGCGTCAGATAACGCCGTAACCATCTGACGATCTGTGACGGTGACATATATTCTGTCAGAGCATGTCAGAGGTCAGGCTGGCTAAGTCCGAGGGCTTTATCAAAGGCCCGAAGAAGCTCGTATCTGACGGCGCCCGCTTATCGTTTTGGACCGCTCCCTAAGCCTATCCTGCCTAATACCGCGTCCGTCTCACAGGTATGTCCCAGTGGCGTCACCGCCGTGTCAGAGGGATACGAGTGCCGTGTCCGGCCCGAGTTGTCACTGAGTCGCGCCGTACTGTGGCGGATGGGCCTTGTCGCAGTCGGCCAGGAGAAGAGATACATTTCCGCCGGAACTTACACTCCTTTCCCGCATAGCAACGAGAATAGGGCACCTCGATCCGTGTTGCACCGTGAGCTTTGCTCGTTTCCTGTAACCGTCAGGTTTAAATTGTTAGGGGCT